TTAATTAATTGCCCTATTAATGCTCACTTAGAGCCATTCTTTTCATTTCATATAGATCATCCTCCGCGCTTGGTCGACACCAAGCGGCCCCTCTGACCCAAAATCAGCTATATAAAACGGTGATAGCTTTGGATCAGCAACGCAAGGGAAGCCATACCAGACTCGCGAGAGAAGTGCATGGGTGAAATGTGATGGTTTTGGAGTCGTGTGCGCTGGATCGCAATATTGGAGCTGGCTGGCTAAGGGTGGATTTGCGAAGCACACTAGAGCCTCACATGTGCAAAGTTTGAAGGCTATAACAAAGCTCTCTGACCACATTGGCGGGTCTGGTTAGCACTGCGTGCAACGCTAGGAAATTCTTCTGAGTTACGCAAGACATGTCAAAAGCGTATTTTTCTGTTCCAAATTTAAGTCTGAAAGGTCGGTGAAAGACCGATGATGTCAAAAAACCACGCGATGAACTGTCTCTCAGTCAAAAGTGAGAAGCAATCAGAACCGAAGAGTCCCTCTGAACTGGTCAAAACCGCATAATGCACTGGCTCTCACTGCATGATGAACAGGCCCTCGGACTGCATTTCATATTTAGTGGTTTTGTCTGCACAACAAACATACACCAGGTGACTTTTCAGTTTTCGCCTCGTTACAACTTTCAATAGCTTCGGGCCGATGCACCACTCACTTACCCGTTACAACACATTACAAATATATATATATATATATATATATATATATATATATATATAACCAGCAAAGGTTTAAAACAAAGTCGTATGACCTTAACATCTGCGTTTTGAAATGCGAGTTTTTAACCCTCAAAAGCTAGAGAGGCCTGCCTCCGGTTACCACTATGTCTGTACTGGTCATCGGAGGCAGCGATTCCAAGTTGCCGCGGCACGATAAGGAAAGGCTCGCTCGGTAGCTTCCAATCGGCATCGCATGATGAACCGGCTCTCTGACCGCATAATGAACCGGCTCACGGACCACATGATGAATCGGCTCTCGGACCACATGATGAACCGGCTCTCGGACCGCATGATGGACCGGCTCTCGTACCGCATTATGAATCGGCTCACGGACCACATGATGAATCGGCCTTCGGACCACATGATGAACCGGCTCTCGGACCGCATGATGAACCGGCTCTCGTGCCGCATGATGAACCGGCTCACGGACCACATGATGAACCGGCTCTCGGACCACATGATGAACCGGCTCTCAGACCGCATGATGAACCGGCTCTCGGACCGCATGATGAAACGGCTCTCGGACCGCATGATGAACCGGTTCTCGGACCGCATGATGAGCCGGCTCTCGGACCACATGATGAACCGGCTCTCTGACCACATGATTAACCGGCTCTCGGACCGCATAATGAACCGGCTCTCGGACCACATGATGAGCCGGCTCTCGGCCGTACCATGAACCAATTCTCAGACCGTATCATGAACCGGTTCTCGGATCGCATCATGAATCGGCTTTCGGACCACATCATGAACCGGCTCTCGGACCGCACGATGAACCGGCTCACGGACCGCGTGATGAACCGGCTCTCGGCCGCATTATGAACCAACTCTCAGACCGCATCATGAACCGGCTCTCGGATCGCATCATGAGTCGGCTATTGGACCGCATCATGAACCGGCTCTCGGACCACATGATTAACTGGCTCTCGGACCGCATGATGAACCGGCTTTCGAACCACATCATAAACCGGGCTCTTGGACGCTCTCGCCCGCTACGGACAAAGCTCTGTGCCACAAAACGTCTGCCGGGCTTAGACGATCTCACCGCCAACGCCACGCTTGAACCGCAACACTAGGCAGATGATCGATTGACAATGGCCTGTGGCCTTTTGCCTCGCCCGGGCTGCACGCGTAGGACGAGCTCCAGTCGAGATGCTTCCACTCGGTGGGAGCTTATAATCTTCCGGCACATGTTTGGGAACGGTCGTGTGTGGCGAAGGGGAAACGCGAGATGCCATTGACTCGCTCAGGAGCGCAGTTCGCAAAATGAGTTGGTGAGGAGGGATCTGAGTGGTGAAAAATGACGCAATCTGTCAACCCAAAACGCCAACGAATAGGTTTCTTCCAGCAGTGGCTCATATTTCTGTCAAACTGTGGGGGGGGGGGGGCGGGGGGCTGAGTCTCAGGTTATGGAGGGAATAAAGCCAACTGAACAGGAAACTACACCACTGGATCCGTTCACTTCTCGCGCAAGTTCATCATTCCTCCCACGCACGGGATGCATTGGAAAAACAGGGACGGATGAAGGAAAAAGGGTAGGGGCAATCCGATTTCCAAGCCTTACAGGGGGGAGGGGGGGGCTTAGTGTTTGTGGAAAGTCAATGTGAATCACGGACGAGGTCAAGTGTTTGTGCAGGAACCGGAGGGATCCAGAGACTCATCATCGTATTTGCAAAAGAAAGAATCGGAACCATGAATCACGGCGCTGTGTTTGCAAAACCACCAACTGGAGCCGGTGGTGGGGTTTACGAAACAGCCAGCCGGAACAGAGGATGCAAGGTTCCATTTTCAAACTGGGAAGTGGGAACCAGGAACCAGCATCGGGAGTCAGACACGCATCCGCCCAGCGCTTGGACTAACGGCGAAACGGTATCCATGACAGGAGCCGCCTTCTGAAGCGGGTGCCTGTGTTGCTCGCAACCGTCCCAGAAAATGGCTGGGAAGAGAATTTACGTAGCATAGATAGAGGCTATAGAGGCTAGCATGGCATCCATATAAGATCGGCCCTCTGATAGCCTTAAGGCGCGTTCGTCACGGTTCGGCGACACAGGCTTGAGAGCTGGCTGGCTTTCTTGCGGGAGCGTTTGCCAGGATGTGCACGGGCGGGCCAACATTAGTGGTACGTGAGATCAGAAGCACAGTCTGAAACGTCACGTATTGCCGATATATCAATGTTTGCTCTGTTAAGTTCTTTAACAAGTCTCATGGTATACTGAAACGAAATAATTCACCATGAATTCCCTGAATTCATAATGTGCGGTATTCAGAAGCTGCATTGCTGGCTAATGCTATTTGGTTTCGAAGCAAATTTAATCCCCGTCGATTTTGTTGCCATTTGAAGTGCTTTCCAATCTTTTACGTCTGTCGACTGGTATGTCTTCCGACCTTTTCTCTTCTACTCTTGTGCTTATCAAATTTTATCTTGTCCAAGTTTTCGTCCTCCGTTTTTTCCATTGACTTTTATCCCTGTCCACTCTTATCCCTTTTCACATTTTGTCCTTCAAATAAGTTTTAAATACACTTTGATACCGGTCGGCTTCGTCCATTTTAGCTGTTTTGGTTCGGCATTTTTCGTTCCACTTTTTCCATTTGGCTTTTTCCATTTGACCTTTTTCGGGAGGCGCTCTTCAAAGGACCTCACGGGTTTTTTGAACCCACGAGTGCCCATATAGATGGGTCACAGGTCGTATTGGGTACAGTTTTCTTGGGAAAATTAGTCGTCTGGGTTGGGTAATAGACGTGACGTTTACGAAATGACGAGTAAAACACACGAGAAATACTCATAGTCATTGCTTCCGCTTCTTGAATTGTTTGATTAGCTTCGTTGCCATAATTTTGCAAATATTAACGGAGAAGAGAAAGCCTAAGTGTAATCGTCCTGGAACTTCGGCATCATTACGAACTAAAACGCTGAAAAGGAAGATGGGTGTTCCGACGATGATTCTGGATAACGGGGTTCCGACGATGCTTTACTTATTGTTTTAGGTCTGTATGCCAAGGCCAACAAACCCTAGCCATCCTGTTAGTCACATACAATGTATTTAATTGCGCATCGCTCACATCAGACCGAGAAAGTCTACGTGAATTAAGGTGGTATGCGCCGCTATGCTGGACACAACAGACCCACGGGTACTTGCTTATTACTGTTGCGGATTATTATCGCAATTTTGGGTGACTGCGCTTTCCTGGATAGTGTAACTTGGCACGCAACGAGCCACAAATGACATCCGGGACACCAATGCGACAATCTGAGCAGTAACACATAAATAGCCTACACGGAGCTCGCTAACGACCTTCCAGTCGTGGCGCTCAACGCGGCGCATTTGCAGTCCAAGGATTGATTTATCCTCTGGCTCGTGGCCAAACAGCGTTGGTGTTGCGCCCGCGTTGTGGAAGACCGCGACAGGAGAGTAACCGAACGATTCGAAACACGTGTGACGTCAAGCGGGTAGTTAGCTGCAGGGCTGAAAAACAATCACGCCATACGCTGGGTTCGAACCCAAGGCGTTGCCAATTGAACTCAACTATGGTGAACGAGTAGTATGAAATGCATGCCTGTCAAAGAACAGCAAACACCTAGGCAAATTACAAATCGGGTAAAGATGCGTGCCCGCGCTCCAAGATGCTGCTTAGCAAAAGTTTGATGCTGTCACACCCGCTTTTATAGCCAATCTAGCTCCTCCTGCGATTTCAATTGCATAAGCTGAATCAGTCATGCTTCTTCTAAGACGAGGTGACAGACAAGTGTGACAGCGACGCTGGGAAGCTGCTGCACGCACATACATCTAGCGAGGAATGTTTGCTGCATCGCTCCAATGAGCAGAGCGCAGACCAAGACCACAGATCACATGCTTACCGCGAACAAGAACCATCGACCTAAACATGCGATATTTGCAATGGCAGAACAGAGCTGAGGAAACCCAAGAACGTGTACAAAACCTACCGGAAATGAAGCATCTTGGGCTAGAAGACGGAAGGAGCAACCTCTTTTTTGACGGGAGGAATTCATAGAGATCCCTTACGACTGTTCTACTTCTGACTATCACTCACCTACTGTAGCTTTCTACTTTGTTAATATCGTGCGTTATTATAGCACACATGCACTCACACGCACGTACGCATGCATAGCTTTTTTCCTGCTTAGCTGTCCTTCAATACCTAGTGTACCCACATAGCACCACGTGGGTATATGTGTCGTCTACCTCCCCCCCCCCCCCACACACACAGCAAACGCGTCAGAAGCGCGCTGAGACTCACTGTGAGAACGTGATGATCCCAACGGTGGTGGGGTCCGCCTCCAGCGTGCTCCATGTCTCGCGCAGGTACTGCTTGTCCTCAGCGGTTAGCCGCGGCGGTTCGGTCGGCGTCGGCGGCGCCCCGGCCCTACACAGGCGTGCCTTGAGCGAGCCTTGGCGCGACCCGGTCACCTTCTGCGGGGTCCGCTTGCCGGCCGGCTCGTCGGCCGCCGCCTCGAGCCGTTCCTTTGCGTGCGAGGCGCCCATGGCAGCAAGCGAGGCGCAACGCTGGGCGGAACCTCGCCGCCGGCACCGCGGCACATGTAGGCCGCCGATCTGCGGCCAGCGATGTCCGAGAGCGGCTGGCCGCCGGTCACCGACCCGTGCTAGTGCCGGTCACCGAGCTGCGCTGCGCTCCGCAGCGGCTTCGGCGGCACACTGACCGACAGGGGCGCCTCGGCGGCGGGTCGAACGCACGGGCCGCGCGCGCGCCCCTCTCCGACGGCGCCGACGCTCAACTGGCGTCGGTTTCGGCGGCGGGTGGCGCCGGAGGCGTAGCCGCGTCGAAATCGACGGGAGGGTCGTCGGCGCCGACAGCACAGCGCGATCGCTGGCCCGGTTGGACTTGGTGTGATTTTTGGCGGTTTGGCGCGGTGGGTGCGGGAAAAACTTGGGGAAAAACTAGACTTTGTTTTTAGATCGCCGTGGGATGTTTGTTTATTTTTCACTCTCCCCTCTCCCTCTCTCTCACTCTCTCTACCCCTCTCTCTCCCTCTCTCCCATCTCTCTCTCTCCCTCTCTCTCCCTCTCTCTCTCTCCCTCTTTCTCTGTTTCTCTCTCCCTCACTCTCTCACTCTTTCTCCCTCCCATCCCACAATTTTGCCAATGATGGCAAAAAGACTGGATTTGGCAGCCCTTCACATGACGTTCGTCTGCTCCTTGTTTTTCCTTTATTGAGCTTTTGCCCACAGATCACGACACAACAGCTCACTTTTTGTGCGGCTTCTTGTCTTCGTGCTTCGGCTTCTGGACATTCTGATGAACCAGCGGCTGGGTTGCTGGCTACATCTGTTTCATTTTCTAACTTCAGTATATCCTGATACAACTGTTCCAACTAAGATTCCCTGCTCGTCTTGATCAAACTTTGGCTGGATATGACGTTGAAGACCTAAGCTCAGCAGTTCTTTCCAGTCACCAGACAGTTGATTGAAGAATCTGTCTGAGGCCTCCGACATGATGATGGACCCCTCGTAGAGGGCAGACAGTTTCCCTGACGGTGAGATCTTGGAAGCGCGCTCAGTTTTGTCTGCGATGTAATCAAGCTCTTGGTTGATTGTATCGCAAGTGCACGCGGTTAAAGTGGTTGATTTTATCCCCGCGCACGCGCCCAAATATTCACGTCCTTCGACCATGGCGCGTACAGAATGTGATTATTTGGCTCCACGGCCGTGAAGTGAAATCAGCCACTTGTCAACCAATCTAATTTTTAATTCCATGTGCACATAGTTAACCTTAGTATGTTAGTAATGTCAAAACAAGACCTGTAAGAAGATTGCAAACAGATTTCACTCAAAAATTTTGAAGCAATGCATATGTCACATCATCGACATCAAAGTACCATATTTGTATTCCAGGTGCACATGCTTAACCTTTTCATAATACAAGGGTCAGCACAAAAATTGTTAAATCCTCAAACATTTCTTTCTTCACCTGTTCCTTTTATAAGCTAGGGATAAGAAAAGTCAGTGTTATCAACTGCAATATCTAGAGCTATGGTTCATTTTGAAGAGGCTACTGAAAAAGCAACAAACTCAATCCGCTCAGACCCAGAATTAAAATCCCATTCGCGCAAGACAAAATCGGTCTTGGTCGTTCAGAATGTCTCTCCAAAAGGAGCTAACATCCCGTACTTGGAACTAAAAGAAACCAAACAGATCCCACCAGTGTCAGTAGTGCATAACCCATGACTGAATTTACCTTGGCCTGGGCCCGTATGACGACCTTCCGTTCCCATGGGTGGTGCCCACGTCGCACTCACGCCGTGCTCCAGCAGGTTACACCCACGAAGCACCCGCCCGCCCCCTCTTCTCCACCCCTCCCCCCTCGTTAATATCCATTGCGCGGTTCCATCGTGAAAAAGTTATCTCCGTCGACCGCTGCGAGGGAACCGGCTACGTCAGCAATGTCTGCGTCTGCTATTGCGGCGCAACGTCGGCTATTGTGGCACAACGTCGGCTATTGTGGCGCTGACTGCACCGCAAGCGCAGCGATGTCTGTACATCCGCCGCAGAAACGATGCGTCTGCGGGAGCCAGCCTTTGCCTCTCTGTCTCTGTCTCAGACTCTGTCTGTCTGTCTGTCTCTCTCCGTTTCTCTGTCTGTCTGTCTGTCTGTCTGTCTGTCTGCCTGTTCTGTCTGTCTGTCGTCTGTCTGTCTGTCCTGTCTGTCCTGTCTGTCCTGCTGTCTGTT